GCCCAAAGAATAAACTGTATACGGGAGAAATAAACTAGTCTGCACATTCCACGTTGCAAGAAGAAGGGCTATCATGCGCACCCTATCCGATAGACAACAGTTCCAAGATAGTCGTCTTAATATTGTTGATAAGACACGACTCTGCGTGTCGGAACCTTTGCATGGTTTTTCGTTTAGAATATCTGAAGATGAGATGAGGAAATTTTAAATTGTATACGAAAATCAATTGTATACGATAAAATTAATATTACGTTTGAAATCAACTTCTATTATTTCTGTTTATCTGTTTTATTACTATTTATACACAATACAATTTTATTGAAGAAATGTACCATTTTTTAAACTTATTTTCAAGATATAGTGTTTAAGTCAGTCAGAAATTTTATCTCTCATATAAATATGGTGGACATTTTAAATCAGTTTGTTGATTCGTAAGTAGAGCAGAGAAACGAGATATAAATGTCAAAAGTTTGTCATTTTACACGTTTAATTATGAATCTAATCTTTTTTACTCTCTTATAAAAATAGATATGTTGTATTTGTTGATAATTAAACGCAGTCTATAAATGATTATTATTCAATCAATTAACAATATACGCACTGCGTTCTGACACAATATTTTTCTGCATCAATAAAGTATCATATAATATTATTTACATAATTATGTATTTTTTTACAGCAAAGCAGAACATTGTTATTGAAATATGTCACTTCTAGTAAAAATAAATGTCACTAATTTTAAACTGATACATTGAATTTGATGGACAAATAATGTTCAGACAACGAACAACAGTCTTGTTTGAGTCTCATTTTGTGAAATTAAAGTAAGCCAGAAATGAATTCTTAAATTTTTTTTGTCTCAGTCGTACAGTCGTTGATATAATTTTACGTAATAAATCGCCAGCTGGTTGCCTTTAATTATCGTAGCTTTGGGGAATGTTTTCTTTCTTTGTCGCACGCCTTCCGAACACCGGGCGGCACAATGGCATGGGCTGGGATACGAGATGTGAAAATAGCATATTAACGAAATTAGCATAAGAGGAGAAAGTCGCGGTCGTCGGCCGTACGACCACGTTTACGCGAGTGCCGAATCTGCGAATTCTCGTGCGAACAGCTCTCAAAGGAAAGAGATAAAAAACCGGCGCACATAACTCGTGTGAAATCCTCGACTGACGTGCGCGAGCAGATTCATAATTGCCATTGTCCCTTCGACACCTGTCGAAAAAGTCAATTTGGTCTATTTTGTTTTTTATTCACACGTGAAGAAAACTACGGAATCTGTGCACACTCGCGATTACTATTAAAGAATGCCTTTATTAGATTGATATCTAATTTGTCTATTTAGATTTTTTAGATTATTACATTCATAAGCCTAAATTTTATATCGATCCTTTATTTCCTTATTTTTTATATTAATCCTTTATTCATTTATTTATTTGTTTATTGGTCTCTAAAAATCACTTTTAGAACTTCAAATCCAATTCTGTATGATCTTACGATTAAAAAAAGATAATTCTCCGATCATCTTGTATTATTATTGATTAAGTAGCCATCGATGTGTTATAGTATTTTAGAAAACAACATTAACATTAATCAAATATTATATCATCAGTTAATATGCAATCTCTTTGCGAAAATAATGATCACCCGTCACATTCGCGCGAGAAGACAGAGAGAGACAACGAAAAACGCCGTTGCGGCAAAATATTTGCGCGCTCAAATTAAAGCAAAGTTTGCCTATGAAGAGGTCCACGTCGAAGCGAACCACGTTGAAACGTAACATCGCAATGGAGTGATGTGTAAAGACGACGCACTTGCATAAGTGCAACGGCGGAGACGCCGCGGCGTTTATTTTGCAGCGAGGTGTCCACCGTCGTGCAAACACTTTAAGTAGGCACAAATATCTAGTTGGCGAACAGGGTAGGTCGTTGAACCCGAGAGGGGAGCGTCGATCAGCTGGCTACGTGTACGCACATCGCGAAGATCGATGTTTTTCGACGACCCAATTTCCTGGCTGTCACGCGGGGAAAGACGAACGGATGGATGAGGGAACGGGCGCGGGGCAGAAATAAACCTATCGCACTTTCAAATCACGCATTTGCGTTACGGTCATATACATGGACGACGACTGGCTAATTTGCCTTATGTTCTTCCCCATGTACACTGCAGCATGCGTTTCATCACGAGTTCGTCGATGCCAATTACGCCGAGCGAATCATATTGGTCGTCTCATTACAGAAGAACAACGCGAACATAAACAAAACACGTCCGTTAGCGTAAATTAGAATTCAGCCATGAAATTATCAATATAACTATAAAAAAAATCAAAAAATTCAAAGCAGCACTAATAATTTTAATTTATCTTTATAACAATCGCTATGTGCAATCTACATCTACATTGTTTTGTTTGGTTTGATCGCTTTATGTAAACACATGTAAACGTAAAAAGTACTATGTATAATTATGTGTTTACATGTAACATGTAAATACATAATTATACATAGTACTTTTAACATTAAAATGTAATTATAATGTAATGTAATTACACTGTAATTATATTATAATGTAAAACTGTGAAAAGCGATTGTTTGAAGAATATATATTGTATAAATTTAATTGGAATTAAAAATCTTTTTATTTTCTCTGAAATTAAAATTAAATATTGCGCGTTTCAAATAATAAATATTTTTAGAAATTAATTAAAATTATATATAATCAATAATTCTTTTAATCAATAATTTAATCAAGATATAACCAATTTCGTAACTTATATTATTTCTGATCAGAAGAGTAGCAAACAAATAGAACTTTATAGAAATCCAATTTAATACTGGCCAATATAATGCCGAAAGTTACTTTTTATTTTAAACAATTGTGTTTATAGTAAATATTAATTATGATACTTAACAAGAGTTTAAAAATTTCTGAAACTACGGAATCTCTCTTTGTTTTTAATATTCAAAGTAGGTAATTAATCAGCTAGCTTTCATTATTGAATTTCTAGAAAAGAATACGCAAGCGTCAACAAGCGATTACAATCGAATAACTGTTAAGTAGGTAAATTTCTCGGTTTGCCTATTTGTGAAAGTTTCTTAAAATACGATTTGCACATAAATCGCATTAGTGCGCGGGATTATGCGAAAATCGTGGCTGCTCGGAACGTGTTGTGCTTTCTAGCCGGAGAGAAGTTACAAGATAAAAGTACGGATCCGTCTAATCTGCCGGCGGGGTGAGTTGTGGATATTCTCTTGAATGGAGGTAATGGCCGTGCGAGATGAACGATAAGCCTAGGAGCTAATCCGCTAGTCGCAAACTAGTCACTGACTATCCCCGGCTGAATGACTGAGCCGGTCGGCGCCATGGAGGTAGTAGAGTTAGGATCGTTCCGCTTCGACAAAGGCGGGGGAGGTCGATCTGGCCGATAGCATATGAAACTGGGTTATCAGAACGCAGCTCTCCTTGGACCGGTTACGCTCGATACTTCTCTTCTACCTCCTCTGCTCTTCCTTCTCGTCTTCTTCTTCTTCTTCTTCTTCTTCACCTTCGTTACCTTCTACGCCTACTCGTCTCTCGGCAAAAGATCGGCATTTCGCATTTTCGTCTGATTAGAAATGCTCCTAGTTAGATAGTATTATTATCCCAATAAACAATAAAGAGAGATTCCGTAGTTTCAGAAATTTTTAAATTCTTGTTAAGTAGTTCATAGTTAATATTTACTATTATTGATATTACTTTCATTTTCGAATTTTGTAATAATTGTTATAATTCTTATCAGATGATATTGGTTTACTGATAAAGAATTATTATTGATATAGTATTAATGATATAGTTTCGTTTATTTATTAATTAATCAGAACGCAGAATTTTATAGTATAATAAATATTTCTAAATGTTAAATGACAGTGTTATTTAAAAAACTTTAAATAATTATCTGTTTAGATAGAATAAAATAACCTATATCGAATTTTGGTCAATAAACAATAAATTTGTTAATTTTTATTTCATGCTGAAAGATGTTAGTTTTAGGATATTTAAATGTCAGTTCTCGAAGTATACAGAAAATTAGATTGTCCTTTGATCTTTATCGCAAATCTTTTCAACTTTGCAAGGTGATAAATGATGATCAGAATGAATAGGATAGAATATAATTTTGTGACTCGAATATATATTTATGACAAAAAATACTATTTTACTACTACACCTGTAATACTACACCTGTTCCAGAATAGAATGAAGATCTTTTGATTTCCATAGTCCTAAAACTATTTTAAATATATATGTTCTTTGTGTTGTGGGACAGCTGCTCATTCAATCACTATTGAAAGAATGCGTGAAAATACTATTTTACTACTATAATACTACACCTGTTCCAGAATAGAATGAAGATCTTTTGATTTCCATAGTCCTAAAACTATTTTAAACATATATGTTCTTTGTGTTGTGAGACAGCTACTCATTCAACCACTATTGAAAGAATGCATGAAAAAAGAAAAATGCGTCGGTGTTACAGTCATGTGCATATATATCTCTAATACAGTGTTCTGAATAGATTTTGTAATTTATTTGTCTGTCTGTCTTAATAATTATCACAGACTTTACTTTTAATGACAAGATTACAAAACCATAGTTATAAGATTAAATTGAAATTGTAAAATCGTAATACTTGGATTCACAATAATCCAATTAATTGGCGAAACTCTTTCGTTGTGGAAATTTGCTCGTTACTTACTAATGCTATACATTGATAGTGAGTTAACAGAATAGAAATATACGAAAATTCAGTAAATAAAGATAGTCAATATTGCACTTTTAACGTAATTATGACATAAGAGAACATAATTCTTATTGTTATATAACAAAGAAGATCTTTCTTCTGATAAATACTATGCAACTCAGTGTTTCTTATTCCTGAAGCACGCACCAAAAGTGCAAGCGCAATTTCGAAGAGGGTTGTCGAGCGTAAATGTGGTGATGCATAGATAAAGTTGGAAAGTTGATACATGTCGAGAAGAAACGGCGATTTCTCGCTACCGAAGGAAAAGGACCACTTGCTCCAACTGGATCCAGGCAATGACCCCGGTCGTTCGTTGCCACGTAGGTCGATACCTACCTCGTGTAGGGTTTAGAAGGAGCGGGTTGGTAGATATGCACGATTCTTGTACCCGCTGCCAGGAACCTTAGTTGCCTCGAGCACCTACCTCGGAGTCTCGTAAAAAAAGATGCAGGATCTCCCCGAGAGATATAAATAGATACCCCCGCTACGTCGAGCGAAAGGAGGAACAATGGCGAGGTAATTGAATTCTCCTTGCAAACGTGCTTGCAGCCGGTATTTTCTTCGTAATACGCAAAAATGGTGTTACAATTGATGCACGTGCACGTACCAGAGAGATAAATGTTACCGTTACTTTTATCATACCATAAATTTGACATACATTTAGTACAGATGTAATTGATAACGACACATTAATCACAACAAAAATTATTTTTTTATCTAATTAAAGAGCTACATTATTAATTTAATTTTTGTTTAGTATTATATAAAAGTATCTTAATCTTGAAAATTAATTATATATGATATTAACAATTATATATGATATTATTCTTTTATGACAGAAAGAAAACAAAATTTTCTGAGATAATTTGAATTTTAAAATAATTTTGCTACTAAATTTGAATATCTAATATTCAATCTCAGGTTTACAGATTAATATTTTGATAATCAAATATATCCTAAGCTTAGATAAAATAAAATATCATTTATTTTTGTACGTTGGAGATGTTGCAGATAATAAGAACTACCGCTGTTAAAACGGAAAATTATAAAATTTCGCGAACTTTAAGACCGCTCGGTCATCGCGCGCGAAAACACAAAGGAGAGAGCAAAAATGGGATGCATTCGATTTTGAGGTCGTTGAAGGTAGAAGAGGGGGATGGAAAGGAGAAAGGAGAACAACGTAAAGAATCGCGAGTCAGGGGAGCCGTGCCGCGCTTCGAGAGATCGACGCACCCCAGAGTTCATTATTCTCTCGATCAGAGTAAGTACAGGACAAAAACCTATCAGCACCACCTCCTTTGCCTACCGTCCATTGCCTTGCGCTCAGACAGTTCTCGTAGAAAAATTCGTTTCATCGAACCCGGAGTAGTCGTCCTTAGTCGTCGAAAGAAAAATAATTTCATTACCCCGGGTGCTTATACTGTCTCGCAGGTACGGATTTAGCAAATATTCTCTTCGTCATTGCGAAACAACTACATTTCTACACGATCATCCGGTTTCTCTGAGTTTATAATAGCTCTTCGACACCGTAGGAGGACACTCGGATGCAGATCCGTAAATCGCAACGAGACCTATGAAGGACATCTTTACGGAGAAAGGCGCGTCGAAGTTCTTGGTCATGTACGATCGATCACCATGGCGATTGCAGCCCTGGGGCCCCCCGAGAGAACACCGGGGTTGGTACCCTCGCTCCTGCATTCTGCATTCAGTGCATTCCCCCCACGTTCAATGCACGCTGCAGACGATATCTAGATGGCTGCCCGATGTCTGCCGTCGTCGCCGCCGCCGCCGCCGCCGCCGCCGCCGCCTCAGAGAGAAGAATCCGGCTTACGCTTATACGGTAGGTGGTGGTAGTTATATGCCGATGCTTCGGGGGAGTCGGAGATTGGTGAAAATCAAGAGGAGGTAGAGGCCGTAAATAACGGTCTGTATTTTTCGAGGGGTAGGATCGAACCTTTTCGCTGAAAAGACCTCTGGCGCCCGTGTGCAAATTCTTTTGCAAAACCGCTCGATGAAATCCTTTTCAGAATTCTTGAGATACCCAACACTTTTTTTGTGGAAAGAGCTCCATGGTTCAATAATAAATTGGTCAATGAAAAAGAGGAAAAGGAGAAAAGAAGTGATTAATAATATTATGACATGACAATGATCAACCACCTTTTATTATAATATTTGTTAATCAAAAAGCGCTTATTGTATGTAGGATAATTTTGTTTAGTTTACACATAATTTGTTAGAAATATCTTAAAAACGCATATTAGACAATCTACTTTTATTTCTCTATGTATTAGATTTCTATATATTTCTATTACATTAATCTTGCACTACATACAATGTAAGCGTTATCAACGTACGTAACGAGTAGATTTTCATAGCAAAAGAGTTAATTGTGATTTTATTAGCAATTAGTAAATGAAATAGAGGAAAATGAGATGTAAGATGAAAGAGAGAGAGAGAGAGAGAGAGAGAGAGAGAGAGAGAGAGAGAGAGAGAGAGAGAGAGAGGAGA